GTACAGACATGTACATATGTAAATATATTTAGATTAAGGGGGGAACAGACCTAGGTGCAATAATTATTGGTTTGGTTGAATTCTTTTACATTTAAAAGAGATCTCCTCAAACATGCCCCTACTAATCCTGCCTCATTTCTCTAACAAAGAGAATCCATTCTCAAATGGGATTACACCCATGGGCATAAAGGGTAAGATTTACCTCATTTATTTGGAGGTTAAAAAGCAAACCACACTCCCTGCCCTCAAGTTAATTCTGACTCACAACCACTCTATAGGACAGAGGACAATGGCCCCAAGACTGTTGCTCATAACTGGAGTGCACAGCCTCCTCTTTCTCCTATGGAGTGATTTCTGGTTTTGAATTTGGGGCCTTGTGATTAGCTGGCCAACAGGTAATCATTATGCCAGCAATGGTGGGTACAACTCAATCCGTGATAAGCATTAAGTGAAGTATTCCAGTTAAAGAAAAGCAAGCATTTAGCTTGAGTTCTAACACAAAGCCAGCATTCACAACTGTGCACCAGTATGTCCACTAACAGGATCCCTGCCCTTGTAACTGGTAGCACAGTTAATAAGGAATAAGACACATTTATAAAATTCAGTAAACAGAGAAATGACCACTTGAATTTAATCCTTTAATTAGACATCTGGAGGAATTAAGCAAAATCTGCCTTTAGTAAAGGAAAGCCTGCACATAAAAAGATTAGCAACAGGCCACTCTCGACATTAGTTGTTGGTAATCGTGCACCTGTAGCACTTTGACCAATCAAGGGGAGCTCTGCTGGGAGTCAGTCACATGGACTCACACCAGGCCTTCCCAGTACAGCCAAGCCCAATGAAGCAAAACTGGAAGGGACCCAAATTTGAAAACTGCGGCTGTACCAGAAGTATCCCTGGGATGAGTATCCCTGGAATGAGAACTTCATATCCCCTTCTAAAACAAGGACAGTGTGCCCGCTGCATGGCTACCACATTTCTTTACTGTACAGTGTAAAACACTGGAGCCCAACTCAAGGATGGTGGACCCCCACACTGTTTTAAATTTGTCTAGCTCTCCCCAGTCCTGGAAATAATCTAATCTACTGAATCTGGCCCTTGAAAACACTTCTTTAGCCTTTCCTGAGTCTCTCATAACAGAATCAGTTCAAAGCTCTAGTTACTTGGGGATGAGTTAGAGGTCAGTGGGGGGAAGGTATCAGTGGGTAAAGGTGATAACAAATTATCTCCTTGTCAAGATGGGAAGGAAAAGGTGAGAAAAAAATACTTGCAAGGCAAGAATGTCAAAAATACTTAGAATGCTTATTAATCACAAAACTCAGACCTAGTTCTATTTCTTCTTCAAAGGTGGTCACACACCAAAAAATGCATCTTTTGTCAGAAAGAAAATAGAAACTAAGAAACTCTATCATTACCATCCACATAACAGGTATGTCACCTAACGAAGCTATTTTTGTACCTAGCCATTTGTGTCTTTTTATTTTCACTTTACATACAAATGATATATTATATTTTAATCACCATGCATGAACAAAAATAATTTTGTAGTGTTTTACAGCATGTTATTTCTTTAAAATTATATAGTTGAATTTCACATGGGATTTCCCTCATTGAAATGTGAAACTGAAGACAGGTACTCTTTCAAATTCAGTTGTTCACTTTTAGTACCTTTGAGATTAAATCCTCTGCACTGAGTCAGTGGGTTTCCATGCCTCACATCTTGTCTTCGGCTCCTCCTGTAAGTGCAGAAATATATAAAAGTGACTTTGAATTAACATGGCCAATTATACCACGGTAAATGATTGCTTCTTAATTTTGCAAACTTTTGGTTGTTTAAGCTCTCATAACTTAAGAAAAATAAGAAAAAAGAGGTCATGTCATCTGACCTGGCTAACATTGTTTTTCATTCAATATTTCAATAATAGAGTTCGTATGGAGTCTTTTTTTTTTCCCTTTCCCCAACCAGAACTAATTCCATTCCTTTCTATTTGCTATCTATGGTGGTATTGTTATAAACCCCCTATTATATAGGTGTCCTGGGTAAATGCTTGTTGGTGTTAATTGCCAGCAAATGTATTCCTCTCCTCTGGACAGCCTCAAGTGTGCGCGGCAGAATTTCTCTGTTGGGTTTGCAAAGCATTGACCTTTCAGAAGCAACTTGCTAGTCCCATCTCCGCATGTGCCTCTGGGTGGGTGCCAACTATCAAACTTTCAGCTAGTCATCAGACACACAGGCATTTGTGCCACCCAGTGTTTCCATGGTATGCTACAATCCATAATTAAGAGTATAAATATTTCATTTAGAATTATTTTCCAACATTTTCTGAAATGGTAACCCTCCAAAGTACAAACTCACTAGCATCTTCCATCTTATGACAATGAGAAAAACAAAAACACATTTTATAAAAATCAACACTTTCTATCCTTTCAAGCCGTAAGAAAATGTTTCTAAATATTTAATATATGGAACACAGGCATTTAATAAAAATTTAAGCAAGATTGTTCATTTAGTAGTTCAAATATTTTCCCCCAATTATTTATTTTGAAAAAATAGAAGATCACTGAAAAGTTAGTACATGAACACAATAAGCAGTGGAATTGTGAGCTGGTAAATAGTAACGTTTTTTCATATTGTACTGCTCCCTGATCGACAAATATATGTTGTGTACATATTATATATGCACATATCCATATGATCATCTGGTGGAATAAAGTTGTAAAAATAATCATTTCACCTTTACCTATTTTATTACATGCTTAGGTTATTCCTTAATTTTAGATTCACTAAGTATTTCAGTGTTAATTTTACTATATAATGTAACAAATCAAAATAGAGAAACTGAAACATTTCTGGTAATGCATTATAGATATGTGCCTTGCTAAAGAACTCTAAATATCAGAAGCATGGCGCCAACTCGAAGGGTTGCCCTGAATGATGAAAAATAAATGAGAACATCACTTAATTTGATTAATTGTGAATTCTCTTAGTATTTCTACCCTTAAATTACTAATCCAAATATTCAATTTTAATTAACAGAGGTTACAATCACCGTGGCTATTAAACCATAGTTAAAAGGAAAGTTAACCTCAGTGCTTTTAAGAATATGACACAGTATTTCATTTTATGGCTTGAGCAAGTAGTTAATAGTTTATATATATAATAAAAATTGTACATCTATTTATGAAAATATATGCAAACACATTTTGGCTATATAAGTTTTTTTTATAAAGATTACCTGATCTTCATTTAGTTATATATTTATAACACACATACTCAATGTTAGGCACACTAATCTCAGGAAATCTAAGTAATCATTTTGTGTTGCTTGCTAACAGTGAGATTAATGGTTCAAACCTACCAGCTGGTTAGAACTGTGCCCGCTCATTACAGAGTAGAAAGCCCTGCCTTTCCTCTGCACAGTGGCTGTTTCCAAACTGATGACTTTGCAGTTAGCAGCTCGATGAGTAACCACTACATGACCAGGGCTGCCTATTCAAGAAGACAGGCTAGTTAAGGCCTGTGCTTACATAGCACTTTCTTCCAAAAGTCTTAAGCGACTGTCCCCTTAGATCAGACCATATTCCTTTCTTCTTTGCCTTTTCCTTTTTTATGCTAATCTCTATTATCATTTATATACTGGTTCTTTTAAGTACTTGTTTCCAACCTGTTTCCCTTCTGGAACTTGAGCTCCTAATGCTAAGAATTAGGTCTGCCTTGTTTCCTCTACCTAATATCCAATGAGTGCCCAACTTAAAGTAGATACATACTAAATGTTGGTGAATAAATTACTAAACTTGTTCTAAAACAAAAATATTATGTTGAAAGTTCTGTGGAGGTTGTACAGGCCCAATCCAGGGATGCTATGTTATCATTATGCATAAAATTAAAAAAATTAAGTTTTAAAATTAAAAAAAACTTTTTTTAGAAGAAGATAGGCTAGAAGAGCTCTTACATCAGGGGTGACGCCTTTTTCTTGCTGTATGTTAGTGTCCCCAGGAGTCAGAACCGACTCCACAACAGTCATGTTTTAAAAGTGTGATTTGCTGTATCTGAGAGCTATGGCATTACTTACCAACAACGTGAGAGTATATGCCATAATGAGCACCATGTAGTGTTTGTAAACATAGTGATCATTTTCAGCCAGATAGGAAAGGAATATCACTCATGATTATTGAATTTATTGCCCCCTGATTATTGCTAATAGTGGTTTGCTCTTGTATACAAACTCTCAAGCTGGACAATCTGCATTTATAACATTTCTAGACATTACAATAGAGAAAAATATATAATTGCGGCCTGGCTTCAATGATGATATCAGAAAGGCAGACATCTGAGCCTTCTGTATGTGTACACTCCATTTTCCAAGAGAATCCAAACACATGCTGGTATGCAGAGATATTATGCTTAAGGTTTGAGATTTGTCTCATATTGTCATGTTCCCTCCAGTATAGTCTATTACTTTGTATAAGCAATGAAGTCATTTTCTTTTCGTATAATATACATATATATTTACACACAGATATTTACTCAAAGATTGGATTAATTATTTTGTCTTAAAGTTTGAACTACATGTCTGTGTCTAAAATAAATAATATGAAAGATTAAACTTCAATGCTTGATAAAAATACACAAATATTTAAGGCAATAGATAGTCAAAATTTTAAAATGTATGGCTTGACATGAAACAACTTTTAAAACAAAGAAAAATTCCCGAATTAAATATATGTAAGAAATGTATTAGGTTAAAATCTGACATCTAGCTTATTTCCATGTATAATAGTACTTCTCTGTTTCCATACAAGAGATATGCTTTTACTGTCATTCCTATGGATTCCTGAAGCGATCTTTGTATTACAGCAAGAATGAAAACACAAGTAAGATAACATTATTAAAGAAATGAATATACATAACTTTCATAATAACCATTATCATTATTATCATTTCATTTCTTAAAAATATGGAACGTTAGTGTATGTTAGTGTAGTGTGTTTTAAAACACACAGGCATTCACTATAAGTTTGTGCATTCCATTCACATTATATTCACTCTATGTTCATGCACTATAAGTATAAAAATATGCACTCACTAGTGTATGTGCTGCATTTAAATTAAAAATAATGGGTAGAATTTAAATAGTATCAATATTTTCAATGTGCCCTCTAGTGTGCTCTACAAATGATATGTGTGAATAAAGAAGCATTTTTTTCTGGTAATTCATGGTAGAGTTCATAGCTAGAGATAATCAAGATAGCTCTCTAAATAGTTTATACTTTGTCTCAATCTGTGGTTTATGCTTTAATATCAAAACAGTAAGAATATCAAGATAGTTTCAGTTATTTGGGTTTTTTTTTCAAAATGAAATCATTAAGATCCTGCTTTATGATTTGTAGATTGATTGCCATCCATAGAAATATAGAATTAATGATTTAGCACACATATTAAAATGGATGAATGGAGTTGTACTAAGTAAGGCATATATTCAAAAACCAGCTTACATATCAGCAAAACTATAGCTGTTATAGCTGGAGTAAAGGAAAAGGCAATACGTATTAAGAGGGAGGTCAGAAAAATTAAAAAAAAAATGATAGAGGCCAGGGAAGATACGGGAGGAGTGTCAGAGTTACAGGCAACAGAAGTAATATTGTTTTACACACAATTCTGCAGTAATGGGAACCTATTAGTGAATCTGGGGATCCACCTGCATGCTGCACAGTGTGGGCGCAGGAGGGAAAGTGTTGGTGTGGCTGTTATTAGGCACTGTCAATTCAGTTCCAACTCATAGTGACTCCGTGCAAAACAGAACGAAACACTGTCCGGTTCTACGCCATTCTCACAATTGCTCTTAGGTGATGTCAGTTGCAGGACTGGTCTCCCCTTCTGATATGTCCACGCGTGTGTGAGAACTCCTCACCAGCCTCACCTCTAAGCAGCATCTGGCTGTACTTCTGCCACGACACAGTTGTTGGTCCTTGGCGTTGACTGGACCTTCAATATTCTTCACCAGCACAATTCAGATGCCTGGTCTTCTTCCTCAGTTTCCTTTATTCAGTGTCAACGTTCACATTTATATGAGGTGACTGAAAATAACATTGCTTGAGCCAGGCACACCTCCGTCCTAAAAGTAGCATCCTTGCTTTTCAATACTTTAAAGAGGCCTTGTGCAGAAGATTTACCCACTGCAATGAGTCTTTTGATCTCTTGACTGTGGATTCCAGGAGCAATGATTGTCTAAGCAAGACAAAATCCTCAACAACTTAAATCTTTTTTCCATTCATCAAGATTGTGAGGAATTTGGTTTTCTTTATATTGAGTTCTAATCCACACTGAAGATTACACTCTTTGACATTCATCTGTAAGTGCTTCAAGCTCGCCTCACTTTCAGCAAGTAAAGTGGTGTCATCTGCATCATAGGTGATTATTAGTGAGCCTTCCTTCAACCCTGATGCTGTATTCTTAATATATGTGTATAATTTATTTGCCATTATTGCAAATATGAGTGGATTACCCCCCAAAATGGATTTCCCCCCCCCAAAGCTATGCATTTAATTATTTTATTTTTTTACAAAACAACCTTATCACCTTCAAAGTACTCTCCATGACACTCTCCATTTAATACATTTGTTAAATCTGTGATTCTATTCTTGGAAACATTTTTCAAACTCATCTGTTTGAATGCCTGACAACACCTCCCTCATTTTTTTTCTTCACATCTTCTGCTTTGTCAAATCTCTGTCCTTTCATGTCCCTCTGCATTTACAGAAACAAAATGAAGTTGCATGGAGTGAGGTCAGATGAGTAATGTGCCTGGGGCGAGAGGGACATGCTATTTTTTTGCTAAAAACTGGTGCACTAAGATGGCTGAGTGAGTAGGTGCATGGTGGTGGTGGCAAAAACAGTCTCTCATCTGCCACAAACCAGGCCTTTTTTGTTGTGCACTGTTACACAATCTTTTTAGAACCTTTAAATAGAAACCTTGATTAACAGTCTGACCTGGTGGAAGAACTCCAAATGTACAAGTTTCACAGCCGTGACACTAGAAGAACTAGGTAGTGCATGACTACTATGAAGTGCATCACATCAGAAAGGCCTTGAATAGAGTCGGCAAAAAAATGTGGAGCAAAACATAAAATTGAATAAATGACAAGTATTACTGGTTACATAGAACCTCTTGGAAACCTCAATATTATGGTCCTTAATCATCCTTCAAGTGTGTAAATAAACTCACATTCACCCCTCATGACTCAGTATTCAGCCAAACAAAAACCCATCTATTAGGTAAGGCAGGGGTCCTCAAACATTTTAAACGGGGCCAGTTCACTATCCCTCAGACCCATTGGAGGCTGGAATATAGTTTTTAAAAAAACTATGAACAAATTCCTATGCACACTGCACATATCTTATTTTGAAGTAAAAAAACAAATGGGGCAAAAATACCTGGCGGGCTGGGTAAATATCCTTGGCGGGACGCATGTGGCCTGCGAGCCATAGTTTGAGGATGTCTGTTTAGGGAACAATTATTGGGGAGCTTCACACACCTTAAAATAATCAACCATTTGAAATAAAAAGTCATCATTACTGATTGACAAAATGCAGACGGGTTAGATAGGAAAGATGGAGGAACAGAAAATATTATGCCCCAAGAAGGAAATAAATAACACGACACTGTGGACTGGTGATCAATGACATGGAAACAAAGAAAGTGTATGAATTGCTGAATGTAAAACCGATCTGCTATGTAAACCTCCACCCAATTCACAACAACATGTTTTTTAAAATAAATAAATAAAATGTAGAGATTGTGAATATGTAAAATATAACAAAATGTTTCGTATATAGTATGGAGTTCTATTTGAAATATATTTTGTAAATCAAAATGCGTGCTGGTCAAAGTCACAGTCTGGAAGATTTTCCCGCAGTGCTAGGGTACAACTAACTCACTCTTGCTTCTCCAAACTGGAGGCGCTTTTCGCTTGGAAAGTGTAGAGTCTGGGCTTTCTTCATGACTCAGTCAAGCTCCCATATAGGGGGTTGCCCTCTTGTGTTAGAGGCACTACATTCTAGAGTCTTACAAAAACGTTGTCTTACAAATACTTAATTATGTTAATAATTTCAAAACATGATTGTGAATGCTGCAGCTTGGTTCCCATGTGAAGTGATTCTATGTAAAACAAAACACCGCCAGACCCTGGACAGTCTACACAATTGTTATTCCACTTTGCCACCAGGGTTCCGTATCAAAATAAGAATACTATCTTCTTGCCTGGATCCACAATGGATACTCGGGGAAGCAGCAGGGTGAACGGAACCATGGTCATTTCAATTACCTTCAATGCGTGTGAAAGTTGAACACTGAATGAGGCAGGCTGAAGAAGGCATGCATTTGAATTATGGTCCTGGTAAAGAATTTGAAAGTACCATGAACTGCCAAAAGAACAAACATATGTTGTCTTAGAAGTAGAGTCAGAATGTTTTTTAGAAGGTTTCTGGAATGGCAAGACTTTGTCTCACGTACATTGAACATATTACAAGAAGAGACCAGTCCCTGGAAAAGGACATCACGCTTGTTAAGGTCAAAGGGCAGCAAAAAGAGGAAGCCCCTTGGTGAGAAGGATTGGGAGAGTGGATGCAATGATGGACGTAAACAGGAGAATTGTGAGCCTGACGCAGGACTGGGAGTGTGTCATTCCGTTGCACAGGGGATAAATACAAATCAGAATCAACTTGACAGCATATATCCATAACACCATATGGAGAGTTCAAAACAAATATGACTGAAAAATACCGTATTTTTATTTCAAATGACATTTGTAATTCCTTTTTCTCTCGGAATTCAGACCCCCAACTAGAGCAAAGATAGACTATCTCAGAGTTATGGGGAAAAAAAACAAACACACAGAAATACCTACTGGATTGCTTATCTGAATCTTAAAATAATATCCAGGAGCACTGAGTCTTTATGTACAGATACCGCAGACTCCCGATTAAAAGACCAGGAGTTCTCATTCTATCCCGTGCCTTTACGTATATCCCACCCGGGACACACTTCTCTAGTCTAGACTCACATTTCTAATTGCGAACTCCAAACTTCACTCTCACTATACAGCAGGTACAATTAACACCACATTATCTTTCTCCCTACTTCCTCTATAGTCCTCCGTTTCTCAAGGAATGGTATCTATATTGTGGAATTTCCAAATACTCATTCCACAGATTTGAATCATCATCGACTTCCATTTCCCTCCTAATTCACACCAATACATTGGCTAATCACTTTTAACCACCTCTGCCTCTTTCCACCCCATGCAAACCAGCACTGTCTCTCACCTGGATCATTACAGCAGCCTCCTGACAGGTTTTACAGCATCTGCTACCCCTCCTCCCTCCCACTCCTGGCCTATGATCCCCATCAAATTCAACAGGCGTTACCCTATGGAACTAAAAGTCCAATAACATCATTCCTGTGCTCACGGAGTCCCATAAGTTATCTAGCTTACTCTAAATATACACCTTTCAATGGCAGAAAGAGCAGGAGTGATCTGGGCCCATGACCTTCTTTCATCCTCTCCTGCCTTTCGCACTCTGGCACAACCTCAGCACTGTACAGTCCGTGTGCACTCCAGCTGTAGGAAGCCAAAGCTTGCTTGATAAAGCTATATGCCTGGAGAACGCCTTGTTGCAATTCCTCATCATCCAAGCTCGTATTCAAATGTCACTCCCTCGCAACACCTCCCTAATCACCCACGTAAATGGCCACCCCTTCTTTTACCGCTCTCGAATGGATTCTAGAATGTATTCTTTGAGAAGACAGGGCTTTGGAAATTTGGGCTTTTCTGCTGTTGACCGTAGTGGTGTTTTTCACTGCATAAGTATATGCTTAGCCCCCCAAACACTGCCCGATAAGTATCTGTCCCTTAAGAAATATCGGCGAAAGTCATGGATAAAAAGACCAGGACATTCTTCATATACAAAAGTACTAAACTCTTTTAATCTGACAAGGACTTCAAAGCCTGTATTTATGACAGGCAATAAAAGGCTGCTGACACACGGTCAGCATTGCTTTAAAAGTAGCCGGAGAGCCAGGGCTGGCTTCATTCTTTCCCTTCGTGCTGATTCTAATTTATAGGTGTTAAACCCTGTCACTCTTGTGAGCTGTCTGAAAATACCTGTCAGGTTGGCTTAGTCCAAATTCTGTTTATTCTCTGCTCTACAATCAATTTCTCCACTGGAGTCCCTTCCAACCTAGAATAGAATATTCTAAATCCTGCCTGTGACATATTATATCCTGTATCTGTACTTTGAACTAGGACAGCTAATTGATCACAGGATAATTAAGTAGCTGGGCAAGTCATATTTAAGGCTATATGGAATCATTTTTATAAAAGGCATTGTTTAGGCAATGTGTGAAAAAACCCTAAATGATTCTTTGCACATATGAGCATTGGAGGGGGAAGGACTGTGGGGCCGAAACCTTCATGGGGAAGGATGCCTTCCAAAGTGCTGGGCTCCACAATGAACAGTTAGGGCCACGTTGTCACACACAGTCATGTGATTCATTCAAAGATTATCTCTGGCGCTCAACATAGCTATTACTCTTCTTAGGGCCATTTTTTCCAAGTCTCTGACAATTGAATAGACGCCAATGCTGCTGTAGAGCACTGTTCCATTGTTAGGGACATCATTTTGATGGTCAGCCGCATGCTCAGTACTCACCGTTTCCCAGTTGGGTAGAACCTGGAGCAAGAATGGCCGTCCCAGGCACAGTAAGGGTCCCTTGCCAGGCAGCAGTCAGCACAGGCTGTCCCGTAGATGTGGCAGCGATGCAGTGACACTTGGGCAATTCCCTCGTTGGAGCTCACATACAGCTGTTGCTATTCAAGGAGCAGTGATGATTTATTTCAGATGTGGAAGTTACAGGAAGACAGGCGGCAGGAACACATTATAACACCTACCCACCCGCCCTTGGATTCATTTTGAAACACACTAAAACTGAGACACAAAGTTCAGAAGGGTATGGAGCCAAAATAAATAGAATTTTCCTAGGTGAATGTGCCTGTAACATTACCACTTTCCTACTTAAGGAAAAAAGAAATCTCAGAGCACCATGTAGACTGGTAATCGGGTGTAAACATTGGGGTTCATTGTTCTCTATTTTCAGGTTTGCCCTAATCTATGATAAGTTTAAATTATGTTGCCCTTTCTTTAAATACGACCTCTTGAACAGTATCATTTTTCCAACCTGGAAACACATCACCATGGAAAGGTCCCTGGGCGGTGCAAAGTGCTAAGCGCTTGGCGAATAGGTGAAAGGTGGTGGTTGGAACGCACCCAGAGAGAGGGACCCGGGCAGGCTGATGTGATCGTCTACTTCCGAAAGCCATGGCCTTGGAGAGCTGTGCGGCAGTTTTAGTCTGCACACGTGGGGTCACACGACACAGAGTCCACCCAATGAAAATAATCACAACAAAATACAGGCCAGTTTTATATTTAAAGAAAAAAATTGCTCAAAATGACTGTTAGGATTTTTTAAAATTGTCTCATCTTTGAGAATAACGTATTACTCATGAAACTTATTTTAGCATTATTTATGGAAGTATATTTTTATATTTAGGCAGGTCTTAAAATTTCGGCAAGATTCCAGAAGATTCACTTGCTACTCTCAAGGAGTACGAACAAAGAGGTAAGGGTTCTGTATGTGCAGGGTATGCAGAACTCAGGGTGTTGCTCTAGTTCAGTGTCTGGGGGTGCTGGGAGAATCCAGGGAGGCTGTGAAAGCAGATACCTACACTTTATTCTAGATTTTTGAATTGCCTTAGGAATATCACGTTGGTTTTTTCATGAGAGGATGGTAGGACGAATAAGTTTGAGCACCTATACTCTAGTTACATTTTCCTGAGGAGTCAAAAGAATGGGCGTCCCATTTCCAAAGGAATGACATCATATAATCCATTTCAGCAAAACTGTACAATGGCTCGTTTTTAATTTATGTGCCTACACATACACAAATATGCACTCATATACATATATACAAACATATTAGAATTTATGGGGAATCATTGATTCAACAGATGTGAGACACAAGGTGAATGGAGTCAAATCCTACCTCCGTAATTAATTTCCAACATAATTTTTAAGGCTGAGCTTCCTCGTTGGTAAAATTGGGATAAAACCGTACCCTTCCCTCATAGAGTTGGAGTGTAGACTGTGTTCTAAGGGCTAACTTCATATAAAATCCGTAAAGAGAGCTCCCGAGTCATGGGAAGTGCTCAATGAATTTCATTAATACTAGTAATAAAGTAAAATGTCAATGAACAAACTATTAATCTTTACTTTTACTGCTCTAATAAATCACTGGAATAACATGCCTTTTTATTATTTAATACGAATTACTTTTTAATTAAAATCAATGAATTTTACATAATTTTACAATTTCCTGGAATTGATTGATTCCAAGTGAAGAACAAAATTTAAGAGAAAACAAGTTTGTGTTTAGATAATAACCTCTCTAGGCAGACTCAAAATAAGTGTTTTTTTGAGGAAATTAATAATATGATAGACTACATCAACTTCATTCAAATCTTTTGAGGAATATAGTTTAAGGAAAGGGTAGAGTTAGTTTCCTTCTGAAAATTATCTTTAATCCAACTGAGGTTACATGATAAATTAGAGATTTTAGGAGCATATATTTAATAATGAGTTGAACACTAGGAAATATGTCAATTTGCTATATTTTAATATTTTATGAAGAGTCAATATCACTAAGAAGATCTCTTACATGGAAAAATTTATGCAGTTGCAGTAGTAAAGAAAGCAAATAATTTCCCCAGCTCTAATCTCACGGAATTAACAACAACTACAAAATTCAATTATCTACAATATGAGGCGCTGAGGCTAAGCCAGCTCTAATACTCAGTTATTCCCATTTATGAGTGTGTGTGTGTTGTACGTTGTGATCCTGTAGAAGGAATGGTGAACTACAAATAATTTGAAACTTGGAATTGTATGCAGTACTACTGTGCCACACAAATGGCTTTGTGTTCATGTTGAATTTTGCTCTGACACTTTCTCTTCCATCAAACTACTTTAAACAAAGGGTTTCCTGCTGACTTCAAAGTTAATTCTGACTTGGGACAAGCTCCCCAGGACATGAGACAAATTACAAATGGCTTCTTGTTTCTTGGGAAAATGTTTGTCATACCACATGCAAACATTTTCACAGATGAGCTCTTTCACTCTGCTGTACCATATTTATTTTTCTTCATAAAATCTAGTCAAGTAAAAAGAGCACACGGCTGACTGTGAAATAGTTTTTCATCTGCAGCAGACCAAATATGGTGAAGAGCACTAAATTATGTAATTGGTAGTACTGACCATAAAACTGTTACTCTGTTTTCCAAGAAAAATACGTCCCAGGCTCGTGCAGATAGCATTTATCGAGGACTCGCTTTATTTTAGGCAATTTATATAAATTAACTTGTTTGTGAGAAACGCATTGCCTCACAGATGCAGAAACTCAGGTCAGGAAAGGTTCATGATGTGACCATAATTTATGGCCACGTTGGGATTCAAACACATGCCGGTCCCACTCGGAAGCCTGTTTCATTTGGACTATCCCACTTGGCCCCTTAACACTTTTGTTTTAGAAATAATACTCAGCACACTAGTGAGAAGTATGGTTGTCAGAGGCTGAAACTTGTGTTTTCCTTTCTATGAGCATTGCACACTTGCATGTGTTTCCACATAATAGATTACACATTTCTAATAATAACAGACAAAATCATAATTTTGTCTCGAAATTCTGAACCCAGATATAGGTTATATTTGAGACAGACCAGATTTTTAAATATTATATATAAAACCCTAGGAAATAGCAACCTTTTAAAAATACACATAAAAGTCCATAGCCCATTTCAGACCCGTGATCGTAGCAGAAGCTCAAAGCAGATGTTCGATTACTCATCCCAAGCACTCGATGTTAGACTCGCCCAAACAGGATGCTAAAGGCTTTCCTTAGAAAGATTCTTTTATTTTGGTTGGCTTCACACACTGTAATAGTTGAGAATATAGGATACACAAAATGTTGGCATATCTAGCTGTTTATATGTTCTGTTCTGATGGCTTTTTAAAAAAACCTAGTTAGTCTTTCACTAATAGCTGGTAAATTCTAATTTGAAAATCAGAAGGATTTTCATGGCATACAGTTACTTTAAACAAGCAAGCTATCTGATTAATATTGAGATTAAATTTTCAGAAATTGTACATTATATATTCTAAGACACACAATCATTTAATGAGAAGAAAATAAAAATGGAGATAGATATATATTTCATTTTCCTTTTACCTTTTTGGATGAAATTTTCATAGTTGTTATGGGAGCATCATTCTGAAAGATCAAAAAATACCATGTTAGTTTCTCAAAGGACCATTAAAAGGGCTCCACATTCATATGGTAATATGGTAATATCCAGCAGTTGTCATTTGTTTCTATGTTCACATATACCTTCAAAGTTCAGCATTTATACAATGCAGAGACTGAGGATGGAATGTTTAGATGCAGTCTTAAAGAAAGCAAGGTGGTAAGAACAGCATAGGGAACAATAGTGGCATTAGGCTTCTATCCCCAAGTTGGCAACTTCAAGCAACCGGCGGTTCTTCCTGGAGAAAGAAGAGGTTGCTCCCGTACAAGTTGAGTCTCAGAGACCCTCTGTAGGATCACTCGCAGGTCTTGTGGCATAGCAGGTTACACACTGGGCTTCTAATCAAAAGTCAGCAGTTCTAAACCACCAACTTCTCAGAGGAAGAAATACGAAGCTACTTACTCCCATAAGGATTTACAGTCTCAGACACCCACAGGGGAAGCTCTACACTTTCTATAGGGCCACTATGAGTCCGAATCCACTTGCTGGCGGTGAGTTGTGGAGTCGGACTTGACTTTATGGTAGTGTGTCTATCAATAAAGGAGACTCCAGGCCACAGCATTCAGCTGCTAACGGAGTAGTCGGTGGCACTGGTCCACTAATTGCTGCACTGGACAAAGATGTCGTGGTCTGCTCTCATGTGCATTCCCTTTGAACCCTCTGTGTCCTATAGGATCAGAGTTTTACTCTGTTTTACAGGGTTGCTACATTGCAATCAACTCTATAGCAATGGGTTAAGGGAATTATCAAGACATTGGAGTAAATAAAATATCTGAAAAGAAAATTTCTGAAGAGCAAAGATTACCCTTTCCAGAAGTTTCTATTTATATTTCTAAAGACAAGATGTGCAAGTTAACTAATGTGATATGTCTTGATATGCTTATTTTGAATACAGAATCATTTCCACTATAAAAGCAAGGGTACACAGCATGTTAAGACTCACAGATGGGCATAACCATTTATTTACAACATCAGTTTTACAAAAGATTGCCTCTTCCCTCATAATGCTATTATCTGTGCCATGATTTATAAAAAGTAAAAAAGTCAGTGTTCCAATGTAGGCTGCTAATCAAGCATCGTCAAAATGCACTTCCCAATGAATCATTACTGGTGGATATGAACAGGTAGATAACTGTCACATTTCTACATTTGTCTTTCTTTAAATTAATTTTGTCTTGGAAGAAGTAGTCAGAATGATTCTTAGAAGTGAGGATGAGGACTTTGACAGAGTGTCTGCAACAATGGGCTCAAATAGCAACAATTGTTAGCATCGGGTGGTGTTTTGTTTTATTAAGCATGATGTCTTTAGGCTTTGGGACTGGTGGCTCAACTTAACCTACCAAGGACAACCACTAGGTTTTTAATATTGCAAGATTTTTGGACAAAAGAACTGAGAGCTGTTGTCCCTACTTCTTGGATTGCTATCTAGGCCAGTTGCTTACTACTATTTCATATATTAAAAACAAAAATGAAGCGCACTGCTACAGTGTTGACTTGTAGTGACCCTCCTGAACAGGATACACCTGCCCCTGTGGGTTTCCAAGACTATAACTCTTGACGGGAGTAGAAATCCTTCTCTTTCTTCCATGGAGCAGCTGGCGGTTTCTAACTGCTAACCTTGCTATTAGTAGCCAAATGAGTAACCACGACATCACTAGGGTTCTTATATTTCATATATTAGCCTAGATTATTTCATAAAAATATAATGTCTTCTATGATCCAGGAGGATAATCTGTCACTCAGACTTATAAGATCCACAACTAGAAAACTTTAATGTCTCCATTATATGGTTCTTTCTTCCCCACCTTCTCCCCTTCTCTCAATAATTCCATGTCAAAGTACTTGTCCAACCCAGTCATGTCCTTACCTCTTAACTTGATATTGGCCTTGATCAACTATTGGCTTTGAAGTTGTTCTAATAATTTGTGGTGATCAAGGACAGTGGGACAATTACATGATTAACAAGAAAACAGTGTAATCAAAGGGGAGAAAAAATATTGAAATTTTTATATCTTTGAATATTGAGTTTATTGAATAAACAGTAGAATCTTATGAAACGGTAGATTTTTTGAAAGTCATTCCACTCGTAACTATGACAGGTGGCTTTTGTGTCAATTTGGTTGGGCCAGAATTCGCAGTGATGGTGGTCATGACATAGTAATACTGCACACTGTGCTGTGACACAGGCAATCGCTGCTACAATGGAAGGGGCTATGAGCAGGGAATCGGTTGTAAGAAGAGGAAGGATGCAACACCTTCACTCAGATCACAGCCTGATGCAGTAAACTGAAAGGAAGTTCTCTTAGGAATGTGGGAAAACTGTCTTTCTTTTTGCGGGGTCTGGATCCTGCATCTTGCACACTGAACTCTGGTTCACTGAGCCAAGGCCTGCTATATTGTCTGCTAATCCTGAGAGTCATCAGGGATCTGCTGTCTGACCTGCCAAACCTTGGACTGATTCACCTCTGCTGCCACAGCCTGACAGACTGGCCTGGATTCACTGGCCTCTGCCTTCATCTGTCATCTTCCTGCTGATCTTGGAATCATCAGTCCCAGAAGCTAGGTAAGTCAGGAGAAGCCTCCCGGCAAACATCTGACCCGTGGACTTGGAACAGGCTTGGAGCTGGAGCTTGGTACTGCTTCAAATGTTTCTCTGTGTGTGTGTGTGTGTTTCACTGGCTTTTCTTTCTGGAGAACCCAAGAACCCAGAATACGGCACTAATTTCACATTTTAAAACATTAATAGTCCATTTCAACAATCAAATACCATCTGTTGAAGATTCTTCAAGGTATATTTGAATAATTCAAGTAAGAAAGCTCTCAAAATCAATTGTATTCAAAATTATTTTTGACCCTCTGGTGTTACATGCACTTATAATCATGTTAAAAGAAGTACAAATACCTCTAACATTCAATTGCAACTATGTTTGCCCATTCCTAAATGATATTCTTTAAAAGTATTAGACGCTATGTCTACCTAAACAACCTCTAACAATTATACCTATAATTCACATTAAACTTGATAAAACTGGACTTGCTTTAGAAAAAGATTGTGAAGAGAGCTTTAAAAGAAAATAGTATTTCTTCATTCTATCAAAATTAAATGCCTGGTATTTGAGTTAAGTTGATATTTCTGCAGTACATCAGTGTGACACTTAGCTAAGGGATTGCTTCAATTTAAATGTGTTATTTTTTTACATGGCCATCACTGTATATCATATGCACTCAATTCTTTCCACCTCACCTCAGAAAATGTGACACAAACACTAAGCTGAAGACAGTAACTACATTCGGTAAGTGTGTCTCATGACTTAGCCACATCAATCACAGGCACGCGCATCAGTAAGCAAGTCAAAACTGGTTTAGTCTCTCTTGAACGGAGGTCCCCCACACGCATTGACATTGTCTTATGTTTCCACTGAGAGTTTATTCTTGGTGATAACACTGGCACAAGTCACACAACAGAACATAAGTAGTTAGCACGTGATCAGAATAACTCACATTTCTCTAAAATCTCGTCATAACATACATGTTTGGATTTATGTCAAGCTCACTTAATTAAACAATACTTCCTGGTTATAAAAAAAACTTCAGCATTAAAAATGAAGTGCCGCAATATGACATAATTGCTATCTTAAAACTGCCGACACTTTATATTATTTTCACTAGCCAGTTATCTCTTTGGAATTGAATGTGAAGGAAAAAAAATTATATATATATACTGTGATTTTGGTTCATCAAGTGATACAATCAATTCCTTTACAAACCAAGCATGGAAAATGCACTTGAACTGGCTTTAGTGGGTACAATTAATACACTAATCTCAAAAAGACTATATGCCAAAACTATCATAAAGAATTATGAATTTTAAACAATATATTGGGAAATTTCCCAGAGCTCCTAAGCAGTTCTATTTAATTTGATTCCTTTTTATATTTATTCATATTAATGTGTGTTAGAATCACCCAATAGCATTGCATCATAATCACGGAGTGGTTATAATGTCCTTGTTCTGGTGGCCATGAGAATTCATGAGTCCATCTCTTCTGAGTCCACTTGACTCAGTGAACTAATTTATTAAGCGAGCAGTAGACTACCCTTCGGGTTCTAAAGTGCTGTTTACTAATTAGAGATTGATCCTGAACTTTGATCCTCCTTGGACTGTTGATTCTTAACTGGTTTAGTTGAAAAGGGCAGCAAGAATGCTTCTCTCCCAAGTTGCTTGGCTCCTAATGGCTCCCGTGACTGGGCTTTACTGTTCTTTCCAAGAACAGAGAAAAGAAGGCAAGCGACCTGTGGTGGCCAGCACTGTCCCCGACACAATCACAGGTGCATCAAGAACACTGCCATGGGCAGGGAGAGAGCGCTGCACTGAACTTCCCTCAATGTGCCCTTTCGTTGTGTTGTGCTTTTCGGTTTCTTTCTTCCTAAATTCAAATTTAAGCTCAAAGAGATGGATACAATGAATCTCAAGTTCACATGGAACAGGGGATTCTGAGTGGAAAGGAGACAACATTTGTCTTATTTAACTACTGTGACATTTGAATTGAAAGCAATAACAAGATAAAACAAAGCAGTTTTTCTTGAAGTGCCGAAGTTAAAAATATAAGAGAGCTTATCTAACAATCAAGTATTTGAAAGCATGAGGGTCTCAGTAGTATATAATCAAAAACTCTTCGTGGCTAAATCTTCCAGACTTTGACTGTAAGAATTCATTTTCTAAAAATAATGAACAAAATGTTTCAAGTTAAGAAACAATTTTTCAAGTTCTGATGATGGCTAAAAAAAGAGAATCCTTTTATGTTATGAAAACTTGAAATCATTTTTAAAAAACGACTTAAAATATTTGCTCTGTATTTCTTATTTGATCTCTTGTTTGCTGCTATCAGAAATATATAACATTCCTTTATTTGATCGTTTAGCAAATATTTGTCCTCTCGCAGTGGTCTGATTAAAAACTCATATATAACGTGTTGTGACCTTGAAAACTTCCAGCTCCTCCAGAATTAGTTCACTGCTGCCAGAACTGTTCGTGGCCAGAACCACCACTTTCTGCACCGTGCCCCGATCTAAATAAAGCAAAAGAGTACCACGAAAGGTCATAATATGTTTTTAAAGGAGAAAAACAGATAAAAGGCTATAGGGTTAGAAATAAGAATATTAGTTATGCATTTGCTTAGTCGTCAAGAAGTTACTGTACATATTGAGCTATTGCTGTTTGCAATTGACTGAATTTATTCTAAATGCAAGTGCCTAAATTGAGACTACAAAGAACTCAAAAGGAATTAAAGTGAACAGCTTATGCTTGGCACATATTTAGTGTAGGCATAACAATGAGTGAAGAAAATAATATCCAACAGTTTTATGAAGTCTAAAGTTCTAAAGATCAGTAAGATTCTTTTCTGGAACAAGTATACATATTTAAGTGATAATAAATAACTAAAATTTTACATTGTAGTTTGGACCTTAATCTCACAAAACATTATAAAGTGATATATTTATCCTTTTAATATTAAGACATAATTATTTAATGTGAAAAGGTTACCTTTTCTAATTAGATACCATTACTCTTAAAATTTGATATTTGACATCATTGTAGAGAGCTTACACATTGTAAAACATTTTGTTCACAATTGAAAATAGTGGCTACAGATGAAACATAGCTTTAATATGATGTTAAGTATGGACATCTATTGATAGAATAAATTTGTTTCATTATTTTCTCTTTCATATGGCAATATATTATAATGCCCCACAACTCAAACTCACCACTATTAAGTCGATGCTATCTGTGAGCAACTGTCTGTTGGCTTTACTAGACTATAAATTATTACGGAAGCACGCAGCTTCATCGTTTGCCCATAGAATAGCTGGTGGGTTTGAACCACTCACCTAGCACTTAGCAGTCCAATACTCAACCCAGAGCAACACTTAGACAATCTCAAAACACATGAGGAATTTCAAAATTAAATAAACCAAATAAATGTAAACAAAAATTCATTTATATTTCCCAATTATAAGTATCATAAAATAAAATGTAAAACTATGGAGACTTTCAAAAGGAAATAATTCATCTGAATAAATATTTACAACCACTAGCTTTTGAGAAATGCATATTCAAACAGTTATGAAATAGACCCTCACCTCAGAAATGATGTTACAAAAAAAAAAAAAGAGCAGAAAACAGTAAAGGCTGAGTGGAGCATGGAAACATCAGAACCCTCATACACTGCAAGTGGGACTTTCTAACTATGCAACCAGTGTAGAAAGTGGCATCTTGCTTTCGTATATAATTGGGAAGAGAAATCACCTATGATCCAACAATCATATTACTTTGTACGTACTCTATAGAAATAAGGCACACCTCACAAGCAGATATATGAACACGCTTGTTCGTTGTAGCACTGTTCTTGATAGAAGGAACATGGAAATAACATAAATGCCTGTTGGTGGGTGAATGGATCAATAAACTGTGGAACATATACACAAAGCAATACCACACATACCTAAAGAGTAATAATGAAACTGGAAATATTTCATGGCCTGGAAGGATTTGGAGGACATTATGTTATGAGGTTAGTCAATCATGAATTGTCTGATGTTATGAGACCACGGATAAAATAAAGAAAAGGTTTTCATACCATAAGAAACAGACTCTGATATTTTTCAGTGCTGGGAGGGGAATCGGGGACTGGAAATTAATCGACTAGAGGGTAAAACCTGAGAGAAGGGATAGACAAATCCTAAATGAGGTGGCTGAGTAAAAGGGGGAAGGAAAGGACCAGGAGAAGCCGTGGAGTGGGGTTGACAAGTTGTTTGGGTTGTTGAATGCAAAATGATGAGCTGATACGTAAACTCGAAATAAAAATTTGTGGGAAAACCCCATTATTTTTAAGGCCATTTTCATGATATTTTTGAATCTCCCTTATACAATAAAATGTTACTCTTGCCCAAATGTATAATAATAGTTTACTTTAGCATGTAAAAATTTCCTGGTTGATCCTTGTGATCGATTTCCCCTTTATCCCCCAACCCTCCCCTATCCTCTTGGTATCTGTACTCTCATTGTTGGCCCTGAGGGGTTTATCTGTCCTGGATTCCCTATGTTGTGGGCTCTTATCTGTAACAGTGTGCATGTTCTGGTCTAATCTGATTTGTAAGGTAGAACTGAGGTCATGATAGTTGGGGGAAGGAAGCACCAAAGAACTAGAGCAAAGTTGTATGATTCATCAGTGCTATACTACAACATGACTGGCTCATCTCTTCTCTGTGACCCCTCTGTTAGGGGATGCCTGATTGTCTACAGATGGGTGTTGGGTCTCCACTCCATGCCTTCCCCCCTGACCCCAATTCACATTGGGTATGATTTTGTTCTGGATCTTAGATGCCTGATACTTGATCCCATTAACACCTCGTGATCACACAGGCTGGTGTGCTTCTTCCATGTGGGCTTTGTTGCTTCTCAGCTTGATGGCCGCTTGTTTATCTTCAAGCCTTTAAGACCCCAGACACTATATCTTTTGATAGCCGGGCACCATGAACTTTCTTCACCACATTTGCTTATGCAGCTATTTTGTCTTCAGCAATAGTGGCAGGAAGGGTGAGCATCACAGAATGCTGGTTTGTTAGAAGAAAATGTTCTGGTGTTGAGGGAGTACTTGAGTTGAGGTCCAATGTCCATCTGCAACCTTAAATTCTTGACATATAGATATGAATAGATAGCTCTATTCCCCTCTCATTACATATATATTTACATATGTACACGCCTGTATTTAGACCTCTATAAATGTCCTTTGCCTTCTGGTTCTTTCCTCTATTTCCTTTTACTTTCCTCTTGTCCCACCATCATGTTCAGCTTTCATTTGGATTTAGTAATCCCTCACTGCTACACTGCCCTTGATTAAGCCCCACTAGGCATCCCACGCCTTTCTTTCCATTGATTTTAGTTCACTTGTTTCTCATTTGTCCACTCCACCCTACTTTCCTTTCTCCCACATCCCCTTCTCCTGTATCACTCCAGAACCATTGGTCCCATTCTTTTCATCTCTGAATTATTTATCCCTCCTATCTGATCTGGATAGATATGCATATACATTAATAAGTGCAAAAACCAGGCAAAGCCAAATAGAACATCAAAGGAAGTAAAAACCAACAAAACAATAACAACAACAACAAAAAACATAACAACAAAAAGAAAGCCACAGACCAAAATGGGTAAATATGGTTGGGCATATTCCCCAACTTCTATTCACAATTCATCACAGTGAGAAGTGGAAACTTCTAAGGGAACAGAATACTATGAAACCTAATCAAGCAGCTACAACATTGCAGTAGCTAGTGCAGGGCGTGTAAGCATATGTGCACGTGGTCCCACGGAACATTTGCCGAATGAATAAATGGGACCAGTGGACAAGTAAAGAATCAGAAGCAGGATGAAAGTGTAACACAACCTTTTTTTCAATCATTGTTTTACAAAAAAGTCACAACAGAGTCTTCAGTTTCCTTTTTGCAACTTCTAAGTGTCACTCCCCATTCTTTATGACAGCCACAAACTCCTTCTTGAATGGAGACTGTCCTGAGGAGTCTTAATACCAAATGAAACCACAAGGAGAGCACTTGACTGAGAACACTGCTCAGCATGAAACTGTCCGAACACGAAAGGATAAAAGTAAGTACTCTCTGAGGCTGTATGTGAAGTCTACCGCTGATAACTAGTCAAGTTGACTAAAACAAATGTTTCTGTAAAACTGAAAAATGGTACATGCATGATCTTGAGGAAACTTTAATTATCCAACCCAAATATTTCATCTATATTATTTGATCTATATAATTTCAAGATCACTCTTTAACAAGTTAGTGAAAGGTTAGGAAAATTTCCCCTCAATTGAATGGAAATAGGCCTATTTATTTTATTTATTGGTCTGCCTTCTAGAGCTACCAAAAATAAACTCAATACTTTTTTCCCCCTTTCAAGTCTCTCCAAGTCTCTGGTGATATTTTCTATATTCTCTATCCTCTATTTTTCTGCTCTAAGTATATATATCTGAATATGTTCAAGTTAAAAAAGATGAAACCAAATGATTTTTCCTGCCTTTTCCTGGACACCTATCAATATTACATTTTCCTATTTCATTCTCAGAGTCAAATATGATGATACAATTATTCTGCCACAATGCTGACCTCCACTGATCAAAAGGCAGGGCAGCTGTTTTAGTAGTTCAGCACTATTTATTGGGTTAGTCAGGGGTCTTAGTATTTTGATTCCTAATAATAGTATTTTGGTCCCTAGAAATAAGCATTCCAATTCTATTGACAATCCTTGACGAGGTTTCCCTTGCATATTTTTTACATTTGTTCTTATTTCAAAGCACGTGTCTCTTCCACCATATCCAATTGTGGATCAATGTACTCGTGTCTGGATCATGTCTTATTTTCTAGAAAATATTCATAAATCCTAATTCAAGAAAACGTGAGACATATCCTTGGTCAGTACAGTTCACTACAAAGGTAATAATAAACTTAGATTGTGTCCTATCAAGTTTCACTCATTGATTCAACTAAGAATTAGTGTCTCAATGAGCTAGCCACTAGATCCAACTTTGGATGCAAAGAATCATGGGCATAACAGACAAGTGTTAACAACCTAGAATTTATGGTTCTGTGAGCATTACACACATTTACATTAAAATGTTAGTCACTGCGAAACGTGCAGTCCAGACTGGCAATAAAACTCCCAAAGAATTATTTACACAAAGCTATCTCTGCACCCTTCACTTTGAAGATGGTAATATACTTACTGAATGTTTTTCTTCTATGGAGAGATTGTGAGAATGGTATTCCTTGAATGTCTCTATGATAATAAATTGTTTTTATTATTCTGGAGAACTGAGATATTTTTTTCTTTGGGAAAAGCACCACGATTTTAACAATGAAGCCATTGCCTCCTTTATTTCCCCTTTAGTGTCAGTTTGCTTATATATAAAATGCAAACAATAATCATACCTTTTGTAACGACTATTTTTCCTCCCTGGGTCATGTCTATGGGTGAGCACACCATGGGAAACTTTTA